AAAGGCAGCGGTTTGTTCAGAGCGCTTGCGGCCACCAGGAGTGTCATATATATATATATATGGATATGACTATGACTATGCCTACATAGATGGAACACGGGGTGTCTCCTTCACTTTTCTTCCAAGGGAGTTTCCTTAAGTCATGTTTAAGTCATGCTGTTTGGATCATACTAGCTGTGGCCAGTTGACACCAGGTCCCCAGGTGTCCAGCATTACTTCAACGAGGCCAGCGAGCCAGACCAGAAGCATATGTGACTGTTTGAGAATGTTTGAGATATTCCTTAAACTATTGCAGCTGCATGTGTTCGAGAAAATTGCTCTTTCAACTTGGGCTCTTGCTTAGTGTGGAACTCTTGAAACCACGTTTTCTCAAGGGTCTGGCAGCTAATCTAGTTGAACACTCATCGTTTAGAAGTTTAGAACCATATTAGGCAGAAAACGTTGCGTGCCGCAGCGTTCTCTCTGTTTATAGGAACCAAGAAGAGCTTTGATTTGCCGCCATGGGCAGTACTGCCACAGATGTTGCGTACAGAAGGTGGCAAGCACAGCCCCGACAGAATTTTGAACTCCACAGGGGGTCACCGGAAGTCAGTCAACTCATTTCTGCTCTTTGCGTGGAACCAACTCGGTTTAGCTACTGGTGGCGCGAGAGAGAGGCTCAATCTTCCGGACAACCTCAAGATCGACTCCCTGAAGGGCCAAGGAATGAGCCATCGCAGTGAGAAGAGTGAGCCGTATGAAGCTTCGGAGCGTCAGCAAGTACATTTTGCAGTTGCTTCGGATGCCATGCGTGCTTTAACTTTCTAAATGCCATTTACAGCAATTCATCAGCAACTTTAGGGCGTTCTTGCCCTCATAGAAATCTTTACAGTAGAACGCCCAACGTGCAAGGTGCGCAATGAGACAAGTGCAAAAAGATGCACAAAGTGTTGGCTGCGTTTGCCCTTGGTCGAGTATGAACGATGTCATCAGATTTGATGTCACTTGTCAGGCTGATCAGGGAACAGCCACGCCAAGCGTTCCCCTGTAGCCTATGTTTTTTTGCCCCACCAAAACTTGAATGGCTGAGTGTTCGAGCTCCCAATGGCCTAAAGTCAGTTGACTTCTTCACTCAGTTTGGTTGGATGGCAGGCGAAGATGGCGGCTTCATTGACAAGGTCTCCGTTGCCACCTTTCTTTTCAATCCAATTGTCCCCCATTGCCATTATAGTGACTTCTTGATAATATATCGTTATTTCAAGGTCTTCCCGCACAAGCACCATTGTGAAAGTCAGGTGTGTTGACATGCTTAATATCCCGGTAGTTCAAGCATTCTTCACTCACAGGTTTCAAAGTCGGCGCAAGTTTTAAAGTTGATTGTGGTCAGGTCGTCGAAAAGGGTGCTTGGTTTCCCAACGAGGTTGCACGCCGGACAGCTTGGAGAACGAGAACGGGGTCAGTTGTTTGTTGTAAACGAGGTCAGTTGTTTATTAGTTGTGGAGATGATGAGTAGTTTTACCGGGCACTCGTTGTTCTTCGCTGCACCACTTCGTTTTTGGTAACTCTGATGGACTACTCCGGTGTCTACTGAGGCTGTGGAGTCAAAGTGGATATTGCTACAGCTGATGCGTCCAATGAGGACGAGAATAGCGAGCATGTGTGACACAACAGCGAGGAAGTGGAGTACTGTAATTGATTCGACTGATTGGAATGCTGACAAAGCCATCCAAAGGACGACAAACGCAACATCCTGCGCCGGAGCCCTGACATGGCATGGGAGAAGTTTGAGAACTTGCCGTGGTGATTGAGTGCCTCGTCAAGCGCTGTTTGAAAGGAGTCATGAATTGAGATTCTCAGCCACAAGAGGAGCATGCCTAGAAAGTCTCAGGCCTGATTATTGGAGAGACTGATGCCAAAATGCCGCAGCCTCCAGTGGGATGCTGAGAGACATTGTACATACGCGGCAACCAAAGTGGGTGATTTGATACGACTGTTCCACTCTCGTTTAGCCAAGTGGGACTAACGATGAATCCACCTGAATCTAGGTAAATATCATCCTTACAGTTTGTCAACATGCAGGCCTCCCATGAGAAGTACGATGAGGTAAATGGTCGGGAGGCTTAGACAGTGGCAGCTGAGGATGACGAAAGGATATGTTGCAATGCGAAACTTGCAACGCCCTGTGTGTGGATGCAAATGAACCTTCCAAGCAGGAAGGCATCTGAATTCTGAATGGCCAGAACTGCAAGAGCTCTTTCAATCACTGTTTAATCCTAGTCCCATGTACCATGTACCCTTTCAGCTGAGATTTCGGCCGTGCCCCAAGTTGCTCCTAGTAGCGTCCTTGTTCTCAGTAGTAAGGCCAGGAGCCCCTAGTAGCGTCCTTGCTCCTAGTAGTGATGCCAGAAGCCCCGTTCGTAGCATTCTTGTTTCCTGTCCCGTCCAACTCTAACTTCCCACGTTGCCTTTCTCCCAGTTGCCATCCACGGGGTCTTCGCTCCAATGGCATTGCATGCTGCAGCGCAGGAGGGTCATACAAACTGCGACACTGTAACTTGATTGAATCTTTTCCATGCCACTCATTTACCTTACACACACTCACACCATCTTGCACTATAGTGTGATAGCCAGGATGGAGAAGTTCAAGAAGTGGAACGTTTGCTGTCAGCGGGGCTTGTAGTCGAAAACTCAGAGCCAGCAATTGACAAGGAACTTGACAATCCAAGCACCCACAGCATGAACCCATGGAGCCTTTGGTGATCATACGATCTCGTGTGTGAGTTTTGGGACCGTTGGGGGATGGCTTCAAGGAATTTCCAAGACAAAACTCCAAAACGACCCGCAAAGGACTTGGTCGAGAAGCCGACCCGCAACTCTGCTGGTGAGACGTGGAAAGCTGAGTAGCCCCTGTGACAGCCATCGAGGCCGAGAGAATCTTCGAAGAAGGGTCAACATGTTCCAGGCTTTCCGGCTTCAACCATAGAAATCTGAAACACTTGAATGGACTCAAAGTTGAACTGGAGAATAATACGTTATCTAACCCTATTTAAACAACTACTCAGTACTTGTTAGATCTTAAAACCATTGGCCTTAGCAGATCTGTTTGTTCCGATACCTGCACAGTCCGACCAAGCATTTGTCATTTTCCAAGGCCGCTCTTTGCTGCATGTTTCAGTGGGCGCGCTGGGGAGCCCAAAGCCCCACAGCCAGCTTGCTTGCTGAAGTCAAGCAAAGTCACGAGTCATCATTAGTCATCAAGTGCTGGAGCAGTTTTTGTTGGTTTCTGTGCTACAGCAAGGTGCGAAGTTTCATATAAGGCGAAGATGGTGCAACTTCTCCTCGAGAAACGTGCGGCCGAGCTAGCATGTTTATATGATGAGGATGAGTAGGTGAGTAGGCCTTGCTTCGCCTTTTGATTTCTGCGCAATTAGGTTTTGTGAGACATGCTTTTGCAACATGATACACGATGGACTGAAGCAGCCTTCTTTTTAACTCTTACTAGCCGCCTTACTGTACCCGATTTCTCAGATTTCTCCATGTTCTTTGGAAGCATGAGCGCATGCCACAGAGATTCCTTCAGTTCTTGCTTTCAGTTCTTTCACCTGAATCCTTTCACACTGCGCACGGTGACATCCTTTTCCACGAGAACCAACGCTGCGGCATGCTGCGACCATGGACGGCGCGGCGACGGTGGGCTCGGTCACTGCAGACGATGCGGCCAAAGAAGCTGCCGAGGTGAGGAGCTCAAAACGAAGCGAGAGGAGCTGCAAGTGCTTTTTTGAGTGGAACAGCATCTAAACACATGAAAAGCAACGTGGAACTTTTTGTTATGCACAGATTGATCTGGAGGAACGATAACTACCGTCATAAACAAGATATGAAGAGCACAGGAGAAAACTCCAGCTGAAGTCTAGAGTTGTCCAAAACTGTTTGAACCGACTGAACGACAGCGCCTCCCCAAATAAGCTTCGAAATGAGCATCTAGTAGATCAAGACTCAAGACGGCATTATCAGTTATGTAAAAGACTCAAGACTCTAGTAGATAATTTCTTGGTTTGTCCATGCTTGGCAGGTGGGTGGGCCCGCAGCTCTTAGTGACGGATCGTGACTGGCGCGGCTATCAAGCAGAAGTGGAAGCAACTCGCCTTGTGACATCCAAACACGCCAAACATTTGTGGGCTGCCATTGCCTTCACTTTTGTTTTTGCAGTCGCGCTATCCGCTATTGATATCTATTGATGAACCAATCAAGAAGTCCTAAAAGGAAAGAGCGCTGAGAAGGGGGTTGAAATATCAAAATTTAAGTGGGCAAAGAGAGGGTTAGCCAAGCCCTTTCACAGAAATCACCAGCTCCCCACAGAAACGCGCTAATTCGGAGGCAGAGAACCCTGCCTTGCTACAACTGCGGCTAGCTATGAGACAGTCTTACTTGGTGCAGGGTGTCTACAGGCCACACTCTGCACTCTGGTCCGGGACCGAACACGATCACGCATTTGTTTCAGCAAGTCCCTCAAACCCAGATGGTGATGCTAGGTTGGTGTCCTCAAGAATCCTCCCTTTACCAGTAGAGTAAGTGACTCGCTCAGATGATGTGGTCCAAACATGTTTTTTTGGCCTTTAGCACTACGAGGAGCAAGGACGCTACTAGGGGCTCCTGGCCTTACTACTAGGAACAATAAGCTACTAGGGGCTCCTGGCATCGCTACTAGGAACAAGGACGCTACTAGTGACCCTCCTTGGTTGGACGGAAGGCGTGCTTTGAGAACGATGCTGCTGGGGCTGTTGGACAAAGATATTTTGGCACAGGCAGCAAGACAGGAGGATGCTGGCCAGGCACGAGAAACACAGGAAACCAATCACATTGCAGTGTACGTTTTCACCGCGGACTTCATCACTCAGTGTGTCTAGCTTGCATAATGTTTCATTGGAGAAGATGCTCAGGTGGTCCCTTTTGAGGATTTGGTGTGCCTCATCCCAGCAAGCTTGCTCTCAGAAGGTCTCATCAGTGAGCTGGAGGGCATGGCACAGGACCGTTCAGACTCCACACTTTACGCCACTTCGGATCAACACATTGGCTTGCCACGTCCTGAGAAAGATATTGTTGGGAATGGTTGGATTACTGTAATTGTCTTCAACATGCAGGACGTTCACATTGCTCAGCAGAAGGCCGAAACCAAGCAGCGTGCATTGGCCATCGAAGATGAAGAGGGCGACGAGGAAAAGCAGCCGAAGCGGCGCGTCCTATGCCGTTCCACCCACGATAAGACAAAACAGGAGCGCTGGAAAAACTTTGACGTGAGAGGGAGAGCTTGATTAGATTACTCTTGTGTTCTTCCTTGTAGCTCTTTTGTGTTTGTACTGTTTGAGCTCCTAGTAGAACTCCATCGAAGGAATCAGCAGAAGTTGTCAGTTGAAGGCTGAAGGATTTCATCCTATTACTGTATTGTTTAGTACGTTGAACAAATTTTGCATTTCGCTTTGCCAGCCGCTCCCAGGAACAACATAAGCAATACGAGAAGCCCTGGTGAGCGATTGATTTGCTGAAGGGTAGCCACAGAGGCCGTTAAGCATGGGAAAGCTTTGAAGATCAGACGCAAGAGGCGTGCATTGCATTTTGGGAACTGTGCATCAAGCATCATCAAGCTAGGAAAGAGCCAAAGGGCAATAAGGCATGCAGTGATCCGCGAATCCTCTGTGTCATGCATGCGTGCATGCATGCGTGCAGACACAAAGTTTGGATTGCTGGGTCACGACCGTCACAGCTTCATTCCCACAGCAACTAGACTCCCTGGACTTGCCCTCAGCTGTTTCAAGATCACTCAAGCATTTGCTGTCTCTGGAATTGTGCAGGCCGCACACCTCATGGCTGAAGAGCTGAAGAAAGTACATGATCTCCTATGTGGATTTGTTTGACAGCGTGCCTACATGAGAGTGGCAAGCTGACATCGTCATGGTCTTCTTTGTAAAGGAACGGAACGAGCATGACAGGACAATTCACGAGTTCTCACAATGAGCATGAGGAACCTGCGTCAGTCGATGCGGTTGAAGCATCTGAGATCAGCCCGCATGAAAAAAGCGGATGTCGGATGCTGATGTTTGCAAACCAACTGTGTCAATGTCAGCAAAAAGAGACGCTGTGGATTCCTGTGGACGGAACAAGGTGTGGATTTCGCGGTGTCAGCTTCCTTGATCCGCCAGGATACCAACTTGACAAAGTCCACAGATGGTGCTGGCCTTAAAAGACCAGCAGTGTCCGGTTTTTGCATTCCTGCTTCCAATTGAAGACCAGCTGCAAGGCCAAGACAAACGGCTAATTGCGTGAGCAAAAAGATAAGAAAAAAAGGATATGAGAAAAAGGAAGGTAACCAGGTAACCCCCTTTAGAGGTGCTTGCCAAAAGGAAGCTCACCTTTCTTCTCTCACATTTCTTACGTGCGGATACAGAAAAACTGAACTCCAGGCATGAGCCCAGCATGTGCAGCTGTTGCTGAGCACCACGAGGAGGTGTTGCAGCTGTTGCCAGGACCCAAAAAATGACTGGCACAATGCTGGTCAAGTGTTGGAGCTAGTCGCATTATGTCGCATTCACATAATGCTGATCGCTTTGGTTGCTTTGAGCTCGACACCGACCGGACAGTGTGAGCGGTCAAGGCTTGACGGGAAAGCCGACCTAAATCTGGCCAGTGCTGATGGTGGGACGCCTTTGTTTGTGGCCATTCAGGCGCGTGGATCGTGCAGCCTGCGCTGGTTTCAGACAGAGCTGGTTGGATTCCATGGTGGAGTCCATTCTCTCAACTCAGCCTTATCAGACAAAATCGGACGTTCTTGGACGAAGATGACCCGAAGCATTCAAAGTGCCTGTTACCATTCGCTTCATGACTGGAAAACCACTCCTGGCTTTGGAGAAGAAACGCTGTTTTTGTTTTTTTTTTCAGCGTGTTCCATGGTTACTTTTACAATCTTTTTATATACATATTATATATTAACACTACACATTTTTTTCTGCATGATGAGGCTGGTCACTATGATCTCGTGGAACGACTGCTGGACGACAGGGGGCCCAAATCAGATCATGTCAATTCATTGAGACGAGCTAGACCGCACACTTGTACATGTATGGTGAACCCTGTATGCGCTAGTTACACACTAGGGATCTCTAGAGCAACACTAAAGTGAATCGGTAAGAATCGAACAGATTGATCTCTTGTCATCATTTGTTGCCTTCCTCAAGATAGCCAGCAAGCATGCGAGACATGCTTGCGAACTGGCCACTGCAATTCCACATAACCGACCATGCTGCATTTTCCCGGTCTGAGGCAAAGGCGGATCCGAATGGAAGCAGCAACAGCATGCAGACGCCAGTGACGTACTTGGATCTGAGAGCAATATGAGCCAAAGAACAGCAATGTCACTGCAATGTGTCCTGGGAGCTGTTTTTTTTGCATTTGGCTCCAAGGTGCAGTTCTTGACACTTGCGCTCCTGCACAAGGGCGAATCAGTTCTGCACAAGGGCGAATCCGTGGGGACTCAAGTTGCAGTCGGTCACATACTGTAGAATAGAAAATCTATCAAGAGTCAAGTGAGTCAACTGCACATTTCTAGCCATTAGGCTCGAATTGGAGGTCAAGACGCAACCCCTTCGCTGGACTTTGCAGACATGAACACTAGAAACGAACAAATGGCCAAAAAGATTTTGAAAAGAAGGCAACAGCTGGCCTTCGGATCCCTTGAAGTGAATGTTGAGCAAACCCAGCCGGCTGAAGATGAGGAAGGCCCACCTCAGGAATCCTGCGAGAAACAGAAGTGCGATGCAGACAGACCGCACATGTCGTTCATCGCAGGATCGGATCCAGAGACCTGTGACGCATCGGATCCGACCAGTGACGCTTGTGAGGCACAGCAGTTTGACATCTATACTCCTCGCTTCCTCATTCACACTCCAAGATCTCCCAAAGAACTCAAGACTTTGCCCAAGAGGAGACGCAGGGGCCATCGAGTGAGGCTGCATATCTACGATGTCTCCCACGAGCCTGTTGTTCAACATTTGAACCAGTTCCTGGCATACAAAGATGCACCTGTCAAGCTCGGGGGCATTTTCCACGCGGGCATTGAGATTAACAAGATGGAATGGTCCTTCGGCAGTGGGATGGAATCGGAGATCTCGCAGACCGGAGTAAAAAGCTCGGTACCAACTCAGAATCCTCAGCACAATTTCCGACAGACAGTCTATCTTGGGCGGACAACTCTCACTCGTGAGGAGATCTCAATGACTTTAGCGAACATGGCAGAAGAGTATTCCGCAGAGGGCTATGACCTTCTGCGGAGGAACTGCTGTCATTTTGCGGATGATTTGTGTCGTCGAATCGGAGTGAAGCGACCGCCCAGATGGCTCCTTCGCCTTGCCAAGATTGGAGCAGCAGTGGACGAAGTGCTTCCAGAAGCCGTTCGAGATGCTTTGCCTTGGTAGCCAAAAACCAGTGAGTCAGGGAGTTGCCAGGAAATCTGCATACCTGCACATGAATGAAGCATTTGCCAGCGGTGGGATTTTGACCATCGCAGGCCTTTGCATGTTGTGAGACCATGTGAGACCCCTTTGGTTGGGTTTCATGTGCTCGTGGCCTACTTGTGGCCACTTACACAAATTGAAACACTTGTACAGGGTTTATCTCAAATGTGTTCAGAAATTGCATGACATTTGCCTTGAATGGGCACTGCTGATTAAGCAGCCGTGGTCCTGTTGAACATAACTTTACACGGAAACCAAACATGGCAGTGGAGTGTGCTTCATTCAGCTAGACTTACGTGTATTTCACTTGCACACAAAATGAAATGCAGGTGCTTGGAATTGCTGTTGATTGCACTGCATCATTCTATGAGGCTGATGACTTCGAGCATGCTTATGAAGCTTTGGACACGCTCCTAAGCGCGTGGAGCCTTGTCCGACTGAACACTGCTCGCTGCAAAGGACAACAGGACGTCAGTTCTTAAAGTGGAGACTTCGTCCGTACAAAATATATACAAAGGCAAAAGAATCCATCGTATATACAGGGCTTATCCAGACTTATCCGGTGTTCTTGCTTTTCCTTCGGGCAAGCCTTTCTTGATATGTAGAGGCACCTTTGCATTTATGTTGCCCAAGGCTGGTGCGGAGCCAGATCGTGTGAACGACAGCAGCAGTTGCTCTGCCCTCTTAGCAGCAGCTGTGAATGACTGCACAGACGTTGGGATGCTCGGTGAGCGACAACTGCAAATTCTGTTTGCAGACCATTGTCTCAGTCTTTTCCATGGCCTCCAACCCATAGCAGTGGCCTCCAACCTATAATATATAATAGCGATGGCCTCCAACCTACCAGTTACTAGCAATGGCCTCCAATGTTTGCAGACCTTTGTCTCAGTCAGTCTCTGCCAGCAAACTTCAAGTTAGTCTATGCTCGAATCTTCATGCTCGCAGCCCATGAGTTTTTCAGAGTGGATGAGTCATTCATGTTTTTATGCAAAATGCATTTCTCACTGATTATAGCATACCGGTGCTGGGTTGGTATTACTTATATATATACTACTTGTGTTGGCACTTTTGCAAGACGAAAAGATCCCTCCTGCAAGCCTTCCTGCATGGAGGCTCTCGAGCTTCTTCTAGACGCCAGGGCTAATCCCAACCAACGTGACCTTGAGTACCAGGCCAGCGGTCCAGTATTATATATATTGTGAAAGTGGCATGTCAAGCATCCACGTCGAACACGTTCGCCATGA